AGTAGTTCTCGACGCCGATGGGCACTCCCACGTTGGCCCAGGGCGGCGTCGCAAGGATGTCGGACTTGGCGAAAGCGGAGGGGGAGACGCGCAGCAGCTTGTGGAAAGTCTGCAGCTCTTTCTGGAGGATGCCCATCGGGAGGCTCGAAGAGCTGGCCGACGTGCCCGAGGCAGGTGACCGCGGCGACGTTGCAGAGCTTGGCGCATTGCTGGATCGGGGCATGCGACGCAGCGAGCTTCTCGACGCGGTCCCGCCACTTGACTGCGGGACCACGCCATTGGTTAGCAAGCGTGGCTCCAGGGCCGACGAAGAAACCGAGGTAGCGAGCCTTGGACTAGATCTTGGAGTGGGGCCAGGGGGAGTGAGCCGCGGCTAGTACGAGACGCATCTCGTCGATGAAGTGCACTTCGGGGGGCGACATTGCACTGCCCAGTTGGGGGCGACTGTGCACCTCGTGGCTTAAAGGTGTTATCCAGCGAGCGTCTGGGCCGCGATCATGCGCGGTGCGACCGAGTTGATATCGCGGAGTCTGGCGAGGATGGCGCCTAGATCGCCGGCGCATGCGATGACAAGGCCGCGCTCGATGGCCTTGAGCTCGGAGCTGACGGCGGTGGTGACGGGGTCAGAGACGAGGGCCTAGATGGCGCCGCTCAATGGGCAGCCCTGAGCAACGCCTGAGGCTGCGAGGAGCAGCGGGCGCCGCTCACCTCCCATATCCAAGGACGAGACGGGCCAGTAGTAGCAGGCCTGGATGAGACGCATCATGCTGCCGTGGATGCCCCAGCGCGAGAGCGTGTCACACATCCGCTGGTGGCCGAGACTCGGGAAAGCGGCCGCGATGTTCATGCTGACGCAGACGGGCATGTGCGTCGAAGCTGAGAGTGATAGACCAAATTGTCTGGCGGCGGCGTCCACCATGACAACGTTGTTCAACAACGGGCGGCCATTGACGACGCGATGCTGATCGGGCGACGTCTGGGCGGCGAGGACGTGGAGCTGGCGATCCGCGGCGGGGGCCAGCAACTTCGCATCCGAGCTCTTCATGGGTAGCGGACGGATGCACTCGGGAGTACGCGTGCACTCAGCGCTGCCAAGCGGCTCGTCGCCTTTCGGCAGCATGGCCATGGGGGAGTAGTTGAGGTCGTGCGGGGCATTGCTGTTGGCGGCGGTGTCAAATCAGACGTCGGCGAGGATGTCGAAGCTGTTGGGCGCGCAGGGCCACGACTTGTATGGGAGAGCGTCAGGGCCTGGAGCGGAGCCCCCAGCAAGCCTAGCGGCTTTTTCCAGCGCTCGCGCATCAGGAAAGGGGCGATCGGCAAACTGGCGCCGGGGGAAGATGAAGTTGAGGTGCTTGGAGAGGCGCATGTGGTCCACGTGCTTCTCTACAAAAAAGGGGGCCCAGTGCCGCGTGATAGCCTGGTGCATGGGTGCAGGGCCTGTCGCTGTGTTAGTCGAGCTGCCAGCGGCAATCTCGATGCCCGACAGCGCAAGGCGCTTGGAGACAGGTCGCCAGTTCCCCGCGAAGGCCTTCACGTTTGGCACGCTGGGGCCATTTCCGGCCACGAGGAATGTTGTTGGCGGCGCAGGCTGCTCTCGAACGAGCTGAAGCAAGAAGAGCCTTCCTCTCGTCACTGAGGCTGGCGTGCGCGGTGTCCGTGGCCTCCGCGCAGTCGTGCGCGTCGTTGATGCTGGCGGTGCCCTCGGCGATCTCCAGGTGGAGCTTGCCGATGTCGGCGTTCTCGGTGAGGGTCTTCGCAAGCTTGACATGCTGGTGCCAGACGGCTCTAGCGATGCTGCGCAGGGACATGGCGCGGACCCCGCGCGAAACAGAAGCAGGCTGCAACTGTGGCTCAGCCGCGGGAATCCTGGACAGGGTGTCACGCGCGCGTGCAGCGGCAATCTGCATGGCTGCCTTGAGGGGGCGCCATTTCGCGATGGGCGCGGGCGCAGACATGTCGATGTTTGCGAGGGTATTCTTGATGCGGTGCTGGTAGTGCACGGTGTCGAAGATGCGCGCGGGAATGCGTCGCTCGGTGTCGGGTTTGGGCTTGCAGAGGCGGATGCGTAGGTGCATGATCTCGCGGTCGATGATGGGGCCCTTGGAAGTCTCGGGGGGGGGGGGGGGGCGGGTCGTCGGCGACGTGGGCGGTCTCCATGAGGGGCATGAGGTGGCTCGAGAGATTGATGAAGCATCGGTCGATAATCGATTCGCTAATGTTGGCCTGCGATCTACGCGTCGTAGATGGAATCGCAATCCCAATCGCGCCACGAACTACGAACTATGGAGCGTCGGAAGATTGGCAGGTACTGGTAGCGCTGCGCAGCTGCGGCGCCCGCGCCAACGGGGGTGCTGATCGACTTTGGCGGGGGCTCAGAGACGTCGAAGTCACTCACTATGACGAGAAAACGGTGTTGAGGTTGCTCGTTGGCATGCAGCCATAAAGCTTGCCACTGGTCGCGAAGACGCAGTCGGTCAGCAGGAGCGAAGCCAAAGTTGCGGGCGTCCAGGACGGTGACTTCGAACTGGAGGCCGGCGCCCGCGACTCGCAGTCAGGCGGCGCGGTCAGGGATCACGACCTCAAACCTGGCGCGAGGGCGGAGTTCTGGCGGAGGATGGGGTTCTTGCCTGTCGAACGGGACCGGGGTGCCGACACCGCCAGCGTTGGTGACGCGGGTGCCGTCGCTGATCATCGGGGAGAGGTACAGCTTGTACTTGTGCTGCTTGGGGTTGGAAAGGATGGTGAGATCGTCGATGGAGCCATGTGTTTCTTGTGCCGCAATGAGTGCACGTTGACGGAAGTACGACATGAGTAAGCGACGTTTGTCTGCACGCCGTTGATCAGATTGACCACGTAGAGCCCTTCCTGCGAGGGTGAGAGAAGCCACGGGCTCCAGCGAAGGCTAAATCCCCTGCGCGGCCGAGAGAGCGTCTGCGAAGTTGGACTCGAACTAAGCCAAGATTCTCAGCTGGAGGAAGTCGTCGAAGCCTCGGTCGACTGCTGCATGAGACCACTGGAGCTTAGTGGGAGTGTCAGCATTGCCACCGAGAATAAGACGCACCAAAAGCGTCACCACGATTCGCCGCGTAGCCCAGTGTTCGGCGGGGTCGTAGATCGACTTCTGGCTTCGCATTATGCCTGATCTTGGCGAGGCGCTTGACCTGGACTTCTGCGCGCGCGGCCCTCGGGCTTTTGTCGGCAGATACATATAGGGGAACATGCGCACCATCAGCCAGGCTGAGAGGAAATATTCTCCGCTCTTTCCCATTGCGTAGAGCACTATGGAGACGCTGTGCGCGAGGCTCCGCGACCACGATGCCTCCGCTGACCTGGAACGAGTGGCGCTTAGCGGAGCCGACAGTGCTGAAGATGACCGTGCTCTTATTGACCTCTGCTTTCTCAAACCACTCCTCGAGGGCGCTTTCGAGCTCAGGTTGGCAGAATTCTTGCGGACTGCTGCACCAGGGCGTGGTGGGGTCAGGATTGCGGTCCCAGGTGCCCAGGCCGTCCACGTTGAGCGCGGGTGCTCTGGCTTCGGCTGAGGAGACGATAGCTTTCAGCTTGGCAACGGCGGCTTTGAGATCGATGTCCTGCTGCTCGAGGATGTTGGTGCGCTCGTGGACGGCGGTGATGGAACGTTATGTGATTGCGTGGCGTCTGCTGAGCTCTGCGGTGGCCAAGGTGATGTTGGCGAAGAATTCCTTGTTGGCCTGGGTGGTGAGGGCTCTGGCTGTGGCTTCGAACTTGCCAGAAGCATCTTTGATTTGGGCGGCCATGGTCTCCTCGAATTGCGTTCAAACGTGAGCGGGTAGGTCATGCACACCGAGCTTCGTAGCTCCGTCATGCCATGGGTCTTGCTGGCGTTTGCCCCAATCTTGGTCTTGTCCGTGGGGAAGGAGAACCACTGGTCCTGCTGCGGACGGAGGTGCGTGAGTTTCCATGAGTACACACTGAGGCCCGCGCCAGCCTCGAGAGATCGCGCGTGGAGGCTACTGCAGGCGGATGCAGCGCCGAACACGAAACGTGGATTGGAAATTGGGTCCTTAGCTCCCCCTGGACCAAGGGTCTCCGTTTCCTGCCACGGGGCGAAATCATCGTGGGCCAAAACGGCGACGGAAGGAGGAGGAGGAAGAGGCAGAGGAGGAACAAGCAAGCGCAGATCCAAAACATCCGCGCGGACCTCCGAGAACGCCCTGTCGTTCGGAGGGCACCCTCATCACAGGTGCCTGCAATTTTTCCTCACCGCGCCATAGAACTTGCCATCACTCGGACGTCCATCCCCCGTGCATGTTTCGGTTTCGTGCGCTTATTTTTTGTCGCAGCATGGTCCAAGATGCTCCTCGAGGGCCGTCGCCGAGAAAAAACGCACACGCCCGAGCGATGCCAACGTATAGGGGCACAGCCTGGGCTAACTTGGGCGCGCAGGCTCGCGAGCCCACCGCGAAGGCCGCCCCGAGACGCGGGGTTGCGATGACAGGGCAGCGAGAAGATGGGGGCGGCGGGAGGGAGGGGGGGAGGGCGATGGAGGGAGGGAAGAGAAGGGGAGGGAGGGAGGAGAGTGGAGGGAGGGAGGGGAAGGGAAGAGAAGGGGAGGGAGGGAAGAGAAGGGGAGGGAGGGAGGGAGGGAGGGAGGGGAGGGGAGGGACGGGGAGGGAGGGAGGGGAGGGGAGTGGATGGGGACAGGAGCGAAGAGGGAGGGAGGACGAGGAGGAGCAGGAGACGGGTGTGGAAGTGGGAGAGGAAAGAAGGATGGGGAAAGGAAACGAAACCCGGGCCCTCCGACCAGTGGCAGACAGAGGGAGAGAGAGAGAGAGAGGAGTGGAGGAGGGACGAAAGAAGAAGCAAGATGGAGGAGGAAGGAGGCGAACAGAAAGGAAGCTGGCTCATGAGGAATTCAGGGGGAGGCGGAGGATAATACTCATGAGGCAGACAGCAGATGGAACAAAAGGAACGTGTGTGTAAGACACACGTCGCATGTATTTTGAAGTGTTGTGAGCCACCCCCTATGCAGCAGCGCTTGGACTCGGCACTAAGCCAAGGCAACTGTCAATGATGTGCCAGGCGTTGGGGCAGCGGACATTGCGACATTTTCTCCAGCGATTCTGCCGCATGCTCGCACAGGGTTCAATTCAGGCGGTGGGCCGTGGCACGCCTCCTCACAGCCTGAGGGGGCGCGCGACCTTGGGCGACAACGACATCGCAACGCCCACGACCTTCGGGCGTGAATTAATTGGGGGCGACACATGGGGAGGGAACGATGCACTTTGCGGGCACCTCAGGCTCCCTTTTGGACCCTGAAGGGCCCCTTTCAGGGGCCCTAAAGGGCCCCTTTTCTGCAGCCCTCGCTGCCCCCCATCTTAGCTGCCCTGATACGCAACACGCAACACGTAGCGTATTGGTACGGAGCTCGGCACGCAGACTGAACACGTAGGTCTGGCGCGATACGTTCGCCAACACGCGGGCCAGCACGTGCCGAACCAGCACGCAGCGTGTGAACACAGACGCTTTTGCCACGGCACGTGCTGCGTTCCAGCACGGGCGTGCCAGGGCAGCGAAGAAGCCCCCCATTCGTGGCCGCCCCACTACGCAACGCCCAAGACCTCCAGCAGCCTGGCCTCCGAGGCCACCCGTGCGCCGGGGCAGGCGGCCGGGGCCGCTCCGCGGGCAGAGCCCACGCGGCGCCCTTTGGCCGACGCGGGGCTCCTGAGAGTGCAGTGGCTCCGAGTGTCCAGCCCCGCCCCGTCGCCGCAGCCGCTGCGGCAGGCCTCCCCGCCCTCGCTGGGGCACGCTGGAGGCCCCCGCCTGTCGCGGCGCAACCGCGAGATGCAGCACTGGGCCCGCGTCACGTAGGCCTTCAGGCCGCCCTTCTGCTCGGTCAGGTTGCCCCTCATGTCTTCGAGGCGCGGGCGCGTCTCCAGCAGTGCCGAATCGCAGGGCGTGCCTGCCCGGTCGTTGCAGGGCTCTGGCGAGGCGGTGGCCCGCGTGGCTCGGAGGAGGCGCGTGTTCCGGGCCTCCTCCGCAGCTGGCAGGTCGCCGCTCTGCGCGCTCTCGGGGAGCTGCTTCGTCTGGTCCGCCCGGTCTGCCGCTGGCGGCTCCGCGCAGGCGTCCTTCTCGCCGCAGCCGCCCAGCGTCGCGGGGCGCAGGGTGACCTCCTGCGTCCCGGCAGCCTCGGTCTGTGCCGCAGGCGGGGCGGGTCCTTTCGGCGCCAGGGCCTCCGCCGCCGCCGCGCCCAGCTCCGCCGGACTCATAGTGACCTCCGAGGCCTCCTGCCGCGGCGCCGCTGGGCCCGCGGCGCCCCGGGGCGGCGGGCGGAAGGCGAGGCCGGCCGAGAGTGGCGGCGGCCCAGGCGGTAGTGCTTTAGCAACGACAGGCCCAGGCGCTGCGGCGACAGCGACGGCGCCTTCCGCGGCGGAGACCACTTCCGCGCCCCCGCCCAGCTCTGGTGGCACCCGGGCCAGCAGCTCTCGGGCGCTGGGGCGCTCGCTGGGTGAGCGTGCCATGCACGCCGTGACCAGGGCGCGCAGGTCCGCGGAGAAGCTCGGGTCCATGAAGACCTCGTGTTCCGCCGCGTCCCCGTCCAGCCTCAGCACGTGGCGGACGATTGCAGCCACGTGCTCACACTGTGCCCAAGGTGGCTTGCCATGCATGAGCTCGTAGACGCATGCGCCGAAGGAATACACGTCAGCCTTCTCGTCGTACGGCTGCCCCTCGTATATCTCGGGTGCGATGTAGTGGGGCGTGCCGACCACCGTGCTGGCCATGCCCGCACTGCCCGAGACGGACCTGGCCAGCCCAAGGTCGCCGAGCTTCGCCTGCAGCCCCGAAGCTCCCCGCTGACCGCCACCGCCCTTGCCAGCCGCCGTGGGCAGGCGACCGCGGAGCCCGCCGCCGACGCCCGCAACAGCACCGCGGCGCGGTGGCGCGCGGCTGAGGAAGATGTTGGCGGGCTTCAGGTCCCGGTGCATCACATTCTGCCGGTGGAGCTCGCAGAGGCCCTGCAGCACGGCCGCCGCGAAGCGCCACACCTCCGCCTCGGGCAGGCCGCCCCCGGGCCGGCCAGCCTTCCGGAGGTGCGAGGCCAGGTCGCCCGCGTCGCAGTACTCGGTGAAGATGTGTAGCTCGCTGCGCTCCTGCTGCTCCGTCGCGGGCACCAGCAGCGTCTCGTGGTACCGCACGAGGTAGGGGGACTCGAGGGACTGCAGGATCTCCACCTCGCGGAGCGCCTGCCGCCGCTCCGCCAGGTCCTTCTCGTCCCGGCTGCACAGCGGGGGCAGCTCCAAGGTCTTCATCGCGAAGAGCCTCCGATCACACCTGCGCCTCACCAGCCACACCGTGCCGAACGAGCCGCGGCCCAGCTCCCGCACGCGCTCGTAGCGCCGCGCCAGCGGCATCGGCCTCGCCGCCTCCCCCGGCGCGGGCCGGGCAGGGGGCGCGAGCCGCGCCCGAGCGGGCGCCGCCAGCTTGTGGGGGCCCATCCGCATGGCCAGCTGGTTCAAAGATGGGGTCCTGCGGGATGGGGGCCTGAGGAAAAGAGATAGAAGGGATCCAAGGGTGGAGTTGAGTGATTTGAGGCACCTCGCCCTTAGGCCCCCATGCCTCAGGACCCCATCTTTGACCCGCCGAATGGCCCTGTCCCCGCGGAGCGACACGGCGCGCCTCCGGCGGGCCCCGTCTATGTGCGCTCGGCGGTGCACGTCCCCAGCGGGCCCATCGTCTGTACAGGGGGGGTGCTCCGGCCAAGGGCCTCGAGCCAGCGCGAACAGGGGAGGCGGCGGGCACCGCGGCCTCGTCGTCGTCGTCGTCGTCGTCGTCGGCGTCGTCGTCGCCGTCGTCGTCGTTGTCGTCGTCGGCATCGTCATCGTCGTCGTCGTCGTCCGCTGGCGTCGTCGTCGTCGTCGTCGTCGTCGCTCTGCCATCAGGAATTCCGAAGGAGGAGCGACAGAGCTTCTCTGGTCACTTCTACCCTTGGCCACGAGTGGGCTCCCCCACCTAGACCGAAGAAACGCCCCGAGAACGAAGGATTGCAAAAAAAACGAAGGATTGCAAAAAAACCAAGGATTGCAAAACCAAGGGGTTTTTTTGCAATCCTTCGTGCAATCCTTCGAGCCTATGGAGGTCCTCATCTCCGCGTGTTGGCGGCGCGATGGCCAGGGGGCACGCGTGCAGCGAGCGGGCGTGAGCACGCGGGACTTCCAGAGCTTGTCCTGACCCTGACCCGCCTCAGCCTTCTTCACCCCTTCCTCCTTCTATGTTTCCCCCTTGTTCTCATTCTCCGCCTCCTCCTCCTCCTCCTCCTCCTCCTCCTCCTCCTCCTCCTCCTCCTCCTCCTCCTCCCTCCTCCTCCTCTCCTCCTCCTTCTCCTCCTCCTCCTCCTCCTCGTCCTCTTCTCCCTCTTGTTCCTCGTCAGCATCATCATCGTCGTCATCATCACCATCATCAGCATCATCATCATCAGCATCATGATCATCACCACTATCATCATCATGATCATCATCATTCCCATAAGCAACATCATCATACTCAGCATCCACATCAGCATCATCATCAGCAACATCAACAGCATCATCATCAGCAGCATCATCATCATCATCATCATCATCAACATCAACATCAGCATTATCATCATCGTCATCAGCATCATCATCATTATTCTCATCTGCATCAGCATTATCTTCTTTTTCATCACCATCACCATCACCATAAAACGCCAGAACAGAAGAGCTGGCGTCCTCAGCGACAGGACGAACCATCACTACTTTGCGCCCAAGGTGCTGCTCTCAGCGGCCCGCTCCTGGCGCTCGTCGAGCTGGCTCGACGGCGGGAAGAGCGGTGTCAACGTTGCAGCCGCCTTGATCATCACTATACACGGTGCCTATTGCCAGGAATCTGTCACAGTTCAGTAAAGCTAGTTTTGTCGTACCTGGCGCAATTCGCCCGACGGCGAGGCCACTGCAATTTCCACCCTGGCCGAGGCTATTCCAAACACCATAAACAACGATGTGCCCTCTGAGTAGACCGTGGCGACAAGTGAAGGCCACGTGGCTGGAGGCTCCGATGGCGATCGCAGCGCAACCAGGACAGAGAAATGTGCGCGAATCTCACGGCAAGTCACACTTGCCAACATCTGACTTCCGGGTCACAATGATGCGATCTTAGATTGATATCACTTCAGCCGCTCTGCGACGCAGCTTTTGCGGATGCCGCGCACGCCGACATCTCAACGGCACTGCGTGCGCGAGCCGCCACAGCTCCTCACGCTCTCGCTCGCCTGCTGTCTCTGCTTCGCGCAGTGGCGGGCAGACAGCATCAGAAGCGCTGGGGAAAGACGGCTCAAGAAGCTACAAAAGCGGCGGAAGAGCGCCCCAAGAGTCGGAATACGAACTGATACTTCGAGCCCTCCCCAAGATGACCCCCGAGACCGCCAACAAGCTCCCAAAAGGCCCCCATGAGGCCTTCCAGAAACCCCAAGTAGCAACCGCGATGCCCCAAGACACCCCAAACTTGCCTCCAGGAGGCTTCCCATAGGCCTCCCAAGATATCCAAACAGGCATGCAAGAGGCCTCTGGCCTACAACGCAGGTGCGGTAGCGGGGTGAACCGATGGACACTTGTATGTCTGATGCCCACACCTGCAGCTCGCCATCTGTCTATCTCGATCTAAGCATATGCCTACACCTTTGTATCGCCCACTATATGATGGCAACGGTATACTAGTATGACGCGCGCATGCCCATATCATATACACCTGCTGAATGACGGCCACAGATACCTATATGAGCACCAATATAGCCATATATGCATCAGCACGTGGACACGCATACCTATCATGTATATGTTTTCTGTTTGTTTGTACGTGTGCATGTATGTATGTAGGTAGGTAGGTAGGTAGGTATGTGTGTATGTATGCATGCATGTATGGAAGGATACACTCATGTATGTAGGTATGCATGTATGTTCATATAGACATATACATCTACTATTCGTGGGACAACCGCTGGGCAACCATGGGACAATCACGGAACAGCCGCGGGACAACCCGTGCGCCACCCTCTCCAGCAGACGACTAACCTTTTCATCGATATCGTCCATCGATGCGGTCGGTGGTCCCGTCTCGCCTGCACACGCAAACTCGCCTCGCAGACACGCGCGACACAAGCCGAGCCGAACTCGGAATCGGCTCCCCGTTTGGTCTCACTCTCCATCCTGTCATTTTTATGACCTGGCAGACGTGTTGTAACGGATTTTTGCGTGGATTCCTGTCACTGCAAAACCCCGAAGAGGCGACCGACAAACGATGTAAATTTCGCGTGGAATTTGTTCTAATCTCCATTCCTGGCCTGAAAAAAAAACGCCCGAACTTCACCTCGACATCCGGAACGAAATTATCCAGGATACCCCGGGCCCATCCTATTGCTTCCGAACGAACTCCGCTCTGGGATGTTGGCGCCATCAAACCTGCGACCGATGGGTACACAATTATGAGGGCCAACCGCCCGCCATCTGTGATGTTAGAGGAAGTTCAATCTCACGATCACCAGCCAGGCAAACCGATTACAGCACGTAGGCGGGATGCCCAGGCCGCCTTGCCGATACGACTGGTGGAGCGACGAAGAGAAGCCGCCGAGCAGGAGCACGGGGGGAGGAATCGGCGGAGGCGGCGACAAGGTGGCGGAAGAGGAGGGAGGAGGAGGAGGAGGAGGAGGAGGAGGAGGAGGAGGAGGAGGAGGAGGAGGAGGAGGAGGAGGAGGAGGAGGAGGACCAAGACCAAGACCAAGAGACGCTGGGGATCAAACCAAGTCCGACGGAAAGCTTTGCACGGGCCTATACAGGCCTACGGAGAGAAAACAAAACTAGATCCCTGCGTGGGGCGTAGCCCAACAAATCCAAACCCTCGATGGGGAGCCCTCGCTGGAGGGAGCAACCCCCGCTGGCCCCATAGGCGCACCCATTGCGCGGAACGCCGCGCTGGGTTGCCTGCGGGCGCCAGCCAACCTCTAGCTACGACGCCTCGAATTCACAGCTCCACGCACCGACAGCCTCGGTCGGACACTCCTCACTTCGGACGAGCTCACAGTCCTCCCCTCGGCTCGATCGGTCGCAGCAGCAGCTACTCTCTCCTCCTCCTCCCCCTCCGCCCCCGCCCCCGCCCGAACAACAAAAGAATCCCTCCCCGTGATGCGGCAGTCCTTGATGACCCCGCGCATCACCAGCATGCGGAGGCGCTCGCTGTGCTGCAGCGCTCTCGGCAGGGAGAGCTGGGGCGGGGGCAAGGTCCTGCTGCGGACCTCCAGGGGGCTGGAGGAAGGAGTGGGATGCACAGAACGGGCGGGTTCACTTCTTGGGGCCGACGATGACCTCTCACCCTCTCCCTGGGGTGACTGAACACTCGTATCGATATCATTTGCACCAGCAGTACTTTCTCGAGGGATATCTGGATGACCACCCACAACTTCAGAATGAGGACCACTACACGCCCCCCCATTCGTCTGTTCGGTCATCTGAGTACGCGTGATATCACCATCCAGACTCTGACTGCGAATTCGATCAGCTTCAAACGAAGGTCTCACCTCTTGCTCAACAGCTGGCCAATCTTGCGCTCGAGTGGTCCACGCGGGGCCGATCCCACGAGCCTCTTGGCCCCTGCCTCCGAGAGGATACGGTCGAGAATCTCGCGAAGCACGACGCCAGCGGGCCGTGCGGTCTGGATGTGCACTTGGAACTTCACCATGCCCTTCATTTTGGCGCTGGTGTGCTCCCCCCTCGGTGCTTTGACTGAGAAGTGCGTGACATACTGTGTGATGTACTCCGCTGGCTGGCCCTTGACGTGTGTCTGGAAGAAGTTCGCCATGGGCTCCTGAGCCGCTCCCTGCGCTGCCTTGACCGCAGCCGCCATCACCATAAAGAAGACGGTCACGAACGGGGGGCCCAGCTGTCCTACGTCGATGTTGTCGTCCGTCTTCTTCTTCTCTTTCAGGCCGGCGACAGCACCTGTGTAGAAGCGGTTCGCCTCTATGCCCGACTTCGCGAGGAAGTGGCTCTCGGGTACGAGGTGCGTCTCGAGAACGCTGCCTTCGAGGGTGGCCTGCTCCCGTGCCGTGATCAGCGCCAGGCGTGCCGTCAACTCTGCTAGCTCCTCGAGCTTCTTGTTGGACTTGGCGCCGCGGCCTGTCTGGGCGACTTCCTGAGAGCCTGAGCCTACGTTGGCCTGCTTCGAGCGATCTCCTCCTTCGGCTGGGGCAGGTCGCTTCGCGCCGCACATCGTCATGGCCCACATTGGCCGCTCCTCGCCGAACATCTCGACGTCCCAATCGTCGCCTGGCATCCTTCAACGGCTGTATGCGAGGCTGGACGGGCAGGTGGGTACAGGCGTGTTCGTTGTAAAGAGACAAGGACGTACAGCTTGAACCACAGACCCCACATACGATGACGGACTCAGGCTCAATCAGCGGCCTCAGCGTGGAAGCCTTGTTGGCCAAGCATCGCCCGAAGTTAATGGCTCCGTGAAGGTGTTTTTGTGCACTTTTTCGGTCCCGGAAGACTTCCTTGCAATAGACACACTGGTTCGTAACCGTCAAAACTTGAGACAGCTTGAACGAGTTGTGGACCAGGCGCAGGTGGTTGACCAGTCCCTTCCTCGAGGTGAACGAAGCCCCACAGGGGCCATTCTCATCAGCCCACGGGCACCTGAAGTCCACCGAGACAAAAAGCGCACCTTCTTCGAGAGCCTCGGGATCAGCTGGTTGGAGGCCAGG